TTTTCCATGCAAGAAAGACATCTTTCCAGAAAAGATTTTTACAGTTATTATGACAAAAGGAAATATAGTCTGGTCCACAGTTTACAAGAAGGTTTTTATCAATATTTGAATTAAAAATAATTTGCCATGTTCCTGTTGTTGAGAGTAATCTTCTAATCCAAGTTAGTTTTAATGAGTCTATAAATGATTTAATATGAATCATTTTGAGACCACCATCAGAAAAGTTTTTAATAATTACATCTCTTTTAATTTTATCAATCTTACTATTCCAGAGGAAATTATATATTTCTGTATTTATCTTTTTGACAAATGTATTATCAGGATTTGGTAAAGCGATAAATAAGTGATTAAATTGAGAAATTAGGATAGACTTTATTATATTTATTCTCCCTATTGGTGTAAGTATTCTCCTACTCCAAGTCTTCATCAAAGCTTTAAGTTTTACTAGTTTTTTATCAAAATTTATTTTTGGAATACGATGTAGATCAACATGAAAATCAATACCCAGAAGTGTAAACCTTGTATGTCCCCACTGTAAATTCCATTCATTAGCCATAACCTCATCACTATATTTTTTACTCCCTATCCAAACTACTTCGGTTTTTCCCAAATTCATTTTTAATCCGGATATTTTTTCAAAGTATTTTAATTCTTCTATAGATTCTCTAAGTGATATTTCTGATCCGTCCAGAATTAAAGATGTGTCGTCTGCATATTGTGAAAGTAAAATAGGTTGTTCAGCTTCGAGTACTTTTAAGCCTTTGATATTCTTGTTATTTCTTAATTTGATTGCCAAAATTTCCGAACAGAGGATAAAAATATAAGGTGATATCGGATCACCTTGTCGGCAACCCCTTTTTATATCAAAGAATTTTGACAGATTCCCCCCCTGATTAATTGCCGAATGTATCATTTTATTTTTGTATGTTCTATTTATCAGGAAATTAGAAGGAGATTTATAAAAATGTATTATTGGAAAAAAACGCCATTATTTTTACTAGTACAGCTTTTAAGTACAACAAATGCTAAAGAATAAAATAAGTTAAGCAAAGTTATATATGATGCTACCAATTTGAGAAATATCATCAATGTAAAGTGTACTGATGTCCATTCTCCACTGCACTATGTGCAGTGTCCCCCACACCATGTCATTATTTTGTAATATGTGCATGTTATATAGATGAGCTGTAAAGCTCAATGTAATAAAAGAATTTGAATTTGAAAAGAAATATCAAATAGTTCACCGCAGTATAACTTTGGCTCTTTTAGTCCTCTGTAATAATTGCAAATGTATTATGATGTCATTAGTACCAATGCACAGCTAGTACTACTTAGTATTTCCAATTTGAAACAGAGAATTAACAAAGGATGAATATTTCAAAGGGAGAATTTTCCCGTAAACAGCTGATGTCAGCTAGTGATTCGCATCAGCTTAGAAAGGAAAAGAAAGTAACAAACATTTGATATTAAGGTACTTCGTGTTTATTTACATTTTTACAAATACCTACATTTATGCATCTCCAATATTTGTAGATATTTGTGTATTGTTCATGTAAATATGAGTATGACATGAAAACAGACCTACAATGTACAATCAACAGTAGTACCTCATATATTTGACATTTGATGTTAAATTATCTATAAGCAGGAAATGGGAATGCAAACTTCTTTGGTAGTTATTAATGAAATACTGTAAAAACTCTTGTAGTACTTAAATGTATTTTTAAAGAAATTTAATTCTTGATTATAGTTCCTGAGAGATTATCCATCCTTATAAATCTCCAACTCTCTACAAATCATTGGAAAAGACATTAACCTCTATCCTAGACAAGAGAACACACATTTTCTTCGGTTTTATTTTGTAAAAAGTTCAAAATCAATATTTTGATTATCAAATTGAATATTTTCAATATGTAAATTTAAGCCCAATTAACTGATGTTAAAATTCATATCTATGTCTGTGTGGTATTTTATAATGGCAAAGGAATAGGACTTGTCTGTGTGGTATTTTATAATAAGGATAACGTTGATTTGGACAGAATGATATGTTCCTCTGCAATGCTTGATATTGAAACCTCAGTGTCTCTTAACATGTTGAAACTATTTCATAATGGGTTTTTTGTGATGTCACTCATACTTGTGGTGTTTCAAGTGAGAGGTATGCTGACAATTTAATATTTATGTCACAATTCTGACATCATTTTCAAAAAAAATCCATCAATAATCTTGGTCTAGTAATTTTGTGATAGCTTGTCAGTATTTACAACAAATCTTATCAAGATGCCAATTTATCCCAACACTTGAATTGTTAAACATGGCAAATATTTCATTTTCACTTATGAAGACACATATGTGTGGTTGTTTGAACCTGACAAATCAGACTTGGAGATAAACTTGTTTTACTGTTTATATATTCACTGAATCTGTAAAAACTAACTCCTCTCAGTGCATTCCATGTATATATTTCTGCTCTCTTAATTGGCCTTTTTTCCCCCGATTCATTAAATGTTGATCCTCATATCCTTTGATTAAATCCTTTTATAATCTGTTGTACACTATTCCATAGAGGATTTTATAATGTGTTCACTGATGAGTCATTGTGTCTTGATAATCTTCAAATTATAGATATGAAAGTGCTGTCACTGGCTGTCGGGGACAATTGGGCAAATCTCGTCACCTGGCACTCCCATCACCAACATCCATCGATTCACGTCCTTCTCTGCTTTATGGGAATCCAGATATGTGTTGGCAGATATTTCATATTCTCTATGTCCAAATGGGGTTCTGAAATGTTAACCAATTCACTGTATATTTAAATCGTTTGCCAGAATCATTAATTTACTTCAGCTTAATGAATTTCAAAGAAAGCCTGTACAAGTACATTTTAGTAATTGACAAGGTCTTCATAATTACATGTGATATTTTTACACATTCTTTTCAAGTCTTAAAAATATTTTCAACCAGTGAATTTTCTAAATTGTTGCTTTATTCTAAGATCTAATGATTTCATTTGAAACGACCACCAAAAATATTTCATTTTAAAGTGTAATTTTTCCCCTACAGAGTATATTCACGCATTTTATTCATGTTTATGATTTTTGCTAAATGGACTCTTCCTAATGGAAACTTAAATAGGTTTTAATATGGCTTGTTTTTTGGGCAACTGGCAATTATGACAAGATATATAAGAGAAGTTCATGAAAAATCAAATACAACAACCAATTATTAAAAACTAAAGGAATCAAGTTTCATAAAATAACAACAGAAATCCACTATGTAATAATAAATGTCCTGACCCATATATACTCTTGAAGGACACTAGTCCTTTGCAGGTTTACTTCCCAGGAGGTTGGTTTCTATAAATTGACTGAAACGATCTGGGAAACAAATCAGTCTAGCCTTGGTAGACACATGTACATACATACAGAGAAAGGGTTTGTTTTGGTTTGTTTGTGCTTAACGTCCTATTAACAGCTATATGTAGTCATTAAAGGACGAGCCAGGTTTTGGTGTTGGAGGAAAACTGGAGTACCTGATGAAGAGCCACTGACCTGAGGACAACTAGTACCTGGCGACTACCCCAAGTAGCTCGTACCTCAGATTTCCATATTTTCTCCATAAAAAATAATACGAAAAAAATAAGATTGGAGTTTTTGGACACTAATTTCTGCATTTCTTCCGCATTTTGAAAAAAAATACGGGAAAATGTAGAGAATGTATGGGAAAAAGAACTAACAAAATACAGAGAAATATGGAGAAATACGGAGATAATACAGAAAATGAATGCTGGCATTAGATCGTGCAGACAAATAAGAAAATATGGGTAAATGAGGATTCAAAAGACATAAAAAAAGCATGCACTGTTTACACTCAGTATTTGAATCGTTGGGGGATTTTACAGCTACATCTTCAAATCATTTGTAGCAAAGTTACTATCATAATGGTTAAACTATAACTGGAAGTGAAGACAGTAAACATCAAACCTTCCTCAGAAATTACGTGGAAACACGGACCAGAAGTGAGGCCTACATTTCGTGTGATACCAGCTACCAATGGACATTTACCCAAATAACTATCATATGTACAAGTACCGTGAATAGTCCTAAATGTCATTATTTATTCTCTGTACCAATATATAACCATTTTACTACGTCCAAATGAGGGCCAATGTAAATAACGGTCTGGCAGTGCTATTATATAGTTACAATATTAGTAATGTTTGTTTGAAAACTCATTTCATTTAGTATATATTCAATAATTTCCAATGCTTTGAACATTGTAAAACTTATTCCAGCGGAATAATCTAGCCGTTGCGGAATCTATGATGTGAAGATATTATCTACTATTCACTATGTCTTCAATTAAGTGTTGTTATTTACTGTCACAAGGCAAGGCACCGCATTTCTTACCTTATACCTGATCGTTTGTTTTAATTTGTTCTAATGAAACATGTCAACGTTTGGATAAAAGCCGTGCAATTAACCCAGTTTGACATTGTCTTAGTCATCTGTTTGATTGAAATAACTATTTTTACGGCCGGACTTGTGTATTCCTTGTGGAATCCACCAGCTGGATACTACAGATCTTTACAGAACTTTGTGCACGGACGTTGGATCTCCCATTCCCCGTATCATTATCATAACGGTTAAACTATAACAAAAAGTCAACTATTTGACCTATCTTGCCCAGAAGCCTCAGATTTATAGCTATTGTAAATTGACAATTTTATGCGAGTCTGTTTAAATTTGAGATATAAATCATTCTCCGCATTTCTTCATATTTCTCCAATGGAAAAAAATATGGAAAAACGTGGAGATCAGCGTAAAATACGGAGATTTGAAGTGCGAGAGGCTTCGAACCGGCGACCCTAGGTGGTGTAGGGCTAGTGATCGTAGAGATAGGGCTTTATTATACTGAGACAGTTTCAAATCATGTATCAATCAATGTTATTTTCAGTGAGCTAAACAAATGGGTACCAACACACTTGAGAGTATACCTGCAAAAGAGTGGAATACTTGCATGAGGTTACAGACATGGATTTTTAGTTGCTTTGTGTCAGAAAAAGTGGGCTGTTTTGCCACTTGGCTTTGCTGTTTGTACACACCTTGTTAAAAAAGATTCTTCCACTGCTAAATCCTGGTTAGTCTTCATGTGACTGATGATCACTATACTGTTAGCCTGAATAAAGGAAATGAACAAGACATCTAAATCATCTATTACTGGTATTGTTAACTAGGTCATTTTGTGCGGATTTGTCTTACAATATAACTGAATGAGGCGCCAAACCAAGCCACAAATAAAATTACTTTTTTGGATCACATCAATATGTCATATTGTTTAGGATGAAAAATACGAGTAATCCATCCCTTTTTTTTAAAAATAACTTACATAAATCCCCTTAGTATCCCTCCAAGTTTTCTTGTAATTATTTTTTGATACATAAACATACTACATTGGATCAAGTGGACATAACATTTTATTACAGACTGCTTTGCATTAAATATAGAAAGATTTGCAGATTTTTAAGAGGTTTGACAGAGGTTTCCCTGACAACCTAACACTGGGTTCAAAAACTATTAAATGGAACATATTACAGAAACAAATGTACTGAGATAGGGACTTAACATATATACTGAGATAGGGACTTAACATATATACTGTGATAGATAATTAATATACAGGGATAAGGACATAATATACTGAAATTGGGATTTAATGTACTGAGACAGGGACCTAACATATTGAGACAGGGACCTGATATACCATAATGAACAGGGGACTTGACATTAGATTCAGGTAGGGACCTAATACTTTTTATACTGGGAAAAGGATCTAATATACTGTCATTGAATTACTGAGATAAGGATCTAATATATTGTGAAAGGGACTTAACAAACTGATATATGGAACGAACATATGGATAATGGGACCAGTTATTTACCGGGACAGGAATATCTTCATTTTCCATCCTCATTCGTGGGTCATAGTAGAGTATCCTCCATTTTGTGAGTGCAGATGGTTGGCTGACAAACGTCACTGCCTGATGACGAGAACGAGGAGCAGACTTTTCTAGTGTTGTCCTGTCACTCTGTAGGTACAGCTGTAGACACAAGATGATAATATAAAGAAAAGAGATGTGCAAGTATTTTTGGAATATCACACAAATATTAATTATAATCATTCAACTTTCACAAAACTAAATCCGACCTCATATTAACAAGAGGCCCAATGGGCCTGCATCACTCACCTGGTATAAAACTTACAACTGTAACCTTACATGTGGACTAAAATAAAGCTACAGGCAAAATATCAGTGTCTTGACTCGAAGTCATTCAAAAGAACCTGTTGAAAGACTTAAACACATTTGACTCCTGTGACCTTGAAAGTAAAACAAGGGCATACAGTTGAACAAACTTTATAACCCTTTATCCCAGAATGCAATTTGCCAAATATCACGACCCTATACCTTTTTATTTATTGGGAAAGTAAGTTTTAAAGATTTATACACAATTGACCAGATGTGACATTGAAAGTGTCAAGTCATTCAGATGCCAAAACTTTTTATTTTTTGCCAATATGTATTAAATATGTATATATGTATATACTGCTTGCAAGCATAGATAGATATATATATATATACACAAATACAGATATTTTGACAGGGGCTGCCAGGGTTGGGGAGCCCTGGGGTCAGCCCCTGAACAATATGGTATCTTCACACAGGAGGGTTCTCATTCAACATTCATCAGTCATTCTCTTTCTCCATTTAGTTTATATGTATACAAATACACAAACTTGATAGCTCTTCATTTGAGCATGCTAGTGGTCACATTTCACCATCCTTTGCATTTTGGTTATTCAGAAGAAGTCGTTAAAATGTTTTAACATATTTGACCCCTGTGACCTCGAAATTATATTCAAGGTCATTCTTTACAAAAATCTTTACAAACCTTTCATCCCAGCATGCTACTGGCTAAATATCATCCTTACTATTTTTTTATTTAGGAGAAGTTGTTTAAGTTTTTGACATAATTGACCCCAGTGACCTTGAATATGTGTGAAGGTCATTCATTTTACCAAACTTGATATCTCTTCATCCCAGCATGCCTCTGGCCAAATATCATCATGCTGGCCTTTTGGTTATTCAGAAGAAGTTGTTGAAAGGTTGTATGAGACAATTGACACCTGTGACCTTGAATATGAGTGAAGGTCATTGATTTGAACAAACTTGGTATCCCTTTATTCTAGTATGCTCTGGCCAAATATCATTACCTTTTGGTTATTCAGAAGAAGTCCTTTAAAGATTTCAACATATTTGTTCCCTGTGACCTTGAAAATGAGATAAGGTCGTATATTTGTACAAAATTGATAGCCCTTCATTAAAACATGATACTGGCCAAATATCATTACCCTGGTCCTTTTTGTTATTCGGAGGAAGTTGTTTAAAGGTTTTTAAGTGACCTATTCTGATCGCGTCGTGCGTTAACTTTTTACATTTTCATCTTCTTCTCAAAAACCAGCGGATGGAATTTTTCAAACTTTGTGAGAATCATCCTTGGTAGATGAGGATACAAAATGGTAAAATTTGGATTCCTACACTAACCCCTGGGGCCAGGGCGGGGCCCAAAGGGAAAATTAACTAATATTTCAAAAATCTTCTTCTCCTAACTCAGAGGTACTACAGTTCATCTAGTGACAGAAAACGATCAGAATCCTGAAGGAAAATTTAAAAGAAAGAATATCAGAGTAAGAAAGACATGCAGTTAGAATTTATGTATGACGAAAAAGCCTGAGGAGCTCGGGTAAGATCAAGGGTAGCATGGGTAGAAAAAAGGAGAAAGGAATACAAAATATTTTTTAGGGATTGAAAGACAAAGACTAGCAAAAAAGGCTATTACAAGTATCAAGCAAGATAACGATAATATTGTTAACGATCCCGAGGAAATATTGAAAGAAATTGAGAAATTTTATTCAAAGCTTTATAACAGTGACTGCATTAATAAAGGGAGATAACTGAGTATACTGATAACTGTGACGTTCAGTATAGTTTATCAGAGGACGAACAAATTTCATGCGAAGGTGAGTTGAAATTAAAGGAGTGTGCAGTGGCAGTTAAAAACTTTAAGCCAAACAAAAGTCCAGGAAGTGATGGTCTGTCTGGTGAATTTTACAAAACATTTTGGGATGATATTTCAGATATTGTGTTAGGTTCGCTAAATGATGGATACAGGGAGGTGAGTTAAGTGATACACAGAAACAGGGAGTCGTAACCCTCATTTATAAAAAGAATGACCCGCTATTGTTACAAAATTGGAGATCAATTACCCTGCTAAACTTAGATTACAAAATAACTGCATACTTTTAGGCTTCACGACTTAAACCATTGATGCAAAAACTGGTAAGTACAGATCAAAATGGATATATTAAAAATAGATTTATCGGGTATAATATAAGGCAAATTCAGGACGTTATAGATTATTTGGAGAAATTTAACATTGATTCTTGTTTAGTCTTTTTAGATTTTACCATAGCTTTTGACACGATGGAGTGGGATTTTATGTTCGGTTGATTGGATAAATTTGGTTTTGGTCTCTTGTTCATCAAATGGGTTAAGGTGTTATATACCAATATCAAAGGCTGTGTTAAAAACAATAACTGGTTGACCGAAAATATATCGTTTTATTTGGAACAATGGAACAGACCGTGTAAAACGTAGTGTTATGATAGGCGATCGTAAGGCGGGCTATACCGGTCGTTGAATCCCATATAGATGTTTTAAATGAATCCTGGATACAAAGGTTAGTATCTCCTGTAGAAGCCTGTTGGAAGGTAATTCCAAATTATTATTTAGAAAAGCTCGGTGGCGCCAGTATGCTGTTTCTTAAGTCCCCTGGACACATACGTAACCTTCCAATAAATGATGTACCACAATTTTACATTGGTATCCTATAATCATGGTTGAAACTAAAAGAAAATAATACACCGGTCTTTGATTATGTTTATAAGGAAATTTGTCGGGAGATCATTTGGGGAAATAAATATATCAGAATATGGAACTTGGCTAATATTTCAGAACTGGATTGAATCTGGTTTAATTTTTATCAACGATATTCTAGATAATGATGGTGGTATAAATGAAATTAAAATTTACCAACAGTTAAAAGATACAAGAGACTGGATAAGTTAGGTTAGTCAGGTAAAGAAAGCTATTCCAAAAGAATGGAAGGAAAAAATCAAGGGCGATAATGCAAGGGTAAATGTACAAACTAACACTGATCTATGAGTTTTTAATAAAGGAGTTGGTGTTAAAATAGATAAGGTGAATAATAAGTTTCTGTATTTGGCATTTATGAGAAAAAGAAATCCAATTCCTACCGTAGGGATATGTGGGAAGGTCTGTTTGAGATAGAAAGTATAGTGGTTTGTTTTTTGGTGGATTATTTGAATTTATCAAAAATATTATAATTGAGAATGATGATTTTTTTTTTAAATGGAAGCTATTCAATAATATTCTTACAAATGGAATCTTACTTAAAAGATGGAATATTATTGATGATGAAAAATGTTGCATTTGTAAAGTTAAGGATGATTATATGCACTATTTTATCGAATGTAAATGTGTAGAATCATTGTGGAATTTAATCAATGAGCTTCTACGAAAACACAATTACAATGTTCAGTTAAGAAATATGTATTACATTATGGTAGGATATAAGATTGTTGACATGAAGTACAAAGAATTTAACATTCTTCTGTCTCTGATTGGGTTATACAGTATATAAACATTACCACATCTTAAATAGAAGGGTTGACAATTGCTCGATGGTATATTTATTTAAATATACCTTGAGAGAAAGCTACTACTACAGAGATATAGAGATATTAAATCATTAAAAGATATCGCAAAGTCTTTGAACGAGTAATGGTATAAAAAGAGTAAAAAAACAGTGAAAAGAATAAATATATATATAAAAAAAAGGTGCACTGATGATAATACTGAAGGCTCATGGCGCTTGGCACCTAAAGTTACGATTTCTGGGTAAAGAAATAGTATGGACAGGATTTGCATGTCATGTGCATGGGTATGCAAGGGATGAGTATGTACTAGTATGTGTATGTGTGTGTGTGTTGGTGTGTGTTTGTGGATGCTACATACCGAGGTAAAAATGGTGTGTGTGTGAACATGTGGACATTTTGAGTAGTATATCAGTGTTTCTGTGTACATACACACGCAGACACATGTGCACATATGCATACACATGCATACACATGCATACACATTAACATGTATGTATGTGCGTGCATGCATGCGTGTGTGTGAGGGTGTGTGTGTTTGTGTTGGTAATAAAAGACGATATTGAATTGTTATCATTCAGTTACGCGTGTGTTTGTAATGTACGTAATGTTAGTGAAGGTGCACGGGTGAGAAGGTTGTGTGAGAAACTGGTTTTTTTTGTGTGTTTTTTTGTGTAAATCGGACCGATGCAATGTGAAATGTGTTTAGTAACAAAATATGAGGGATGTGAATGTATTAACATTGTGACAATATATGTGACTATATATTTACTTAATATTATCATATAATGTGATATATGAAATCTGGAGAACTATAAATCAAAAAGAGCCTATATCTGAGCAAAAAGATTAAAAAAAAAAGAAAAAAAAGAAAAAAAGAAAAAAAAGGATTGTAAATTTCAGTACCTATCTGGTACTTTATGTTCTCCCTTGGGAGGGGTAAAGTTGACTATAGTTTATATTGGGAAATAACACTTTTGGGTATATTTTATCCATTTTCAGCAGGAAAGTATTCAAACTTGGTCAGAATTATCTTTGGTGGATGAGTGTATTACAGACCCGTACACGTTCGCTGTTTCACCTTGGATACAAACGGTACGGAAGTACTACGCAAACAGTACGGAAGTGCTACGCAAATGGTAAGCAAATGGTACACAAATGGTACGGAAATGGTACGGAAGTGCTACGCAAATGGTACGCAAATGGTACAGAAATGGTACGCAAGTGCTACGCAAACGGTACGGAATTGGTATGCAAGTGCTACGCAAACGGTACGGAAGTGTTACGCAAACGGTACGGAAGTGC